TGTCAATATCTGTAATTTGAATTTCTAACTCGATCGAAACTATAGACTTAGTATTTAGACTTCACAAACATCTAATTTGAACCAGTGCTGCATTCAACATACTACATGACATAAAAAAAATCGATGTTTATCTGTGATTTTTTAATGTTTGCTTTTAAATTAAGAAATTAAGTAATATGTAGTAATAAAATTTTAATTATAATCTACAGTTTGATACCACACTTATTGACATAAATTCATGAAATAGTAGTTCAATAAAATTTTGAATGCGAATCAACAAACGAGATGACATGGCCTTTCACCATGATTCGTCTCAAAAGGGTTAAATGGTATGCATTTCTAGTTAGCCTTGGAATATACCACTACCAAGATCCTCAACAATCCCAGGGCCCCAGTGCAGCTGCCCCCCCCCCCTTCCATCATCAGCTCTAAAGGTACGATAGTCAGAGCTGGTAAGGGGTATCAAGAATGGTGACAGGAGGCAAGCTATATCCTGAAAAATAAAAGATAGCCAGATGATGAAAATAACATGTGATAAAAATATGTGAGGTAGTCCACATGCCAGCCTGCTTGATCTCTTCAAACAGATAATGATGGAAGTGAGTATCCAAAGATAAAGAAAGGTATTGAATTTGGTAAAAAGAGCCCTGGAAAAGTCAACAAGACTCCCAGTCCAAAGTATATATTAGACAGATCAGCTGTTGTAACCACTCCATGAGAGTGATGGGAGAAAGATCCCAGGTAGAAGAAGAGTTCCAAGGGATGAAGAGATGGGAATGGGAACCATGGAAAGAAGCAATGCAGGAAAAATAACAGCAAACCTGCTTAGAAAGGACAGAGAAGATGCTCCAGATTAGAATGAGAATAAAGACGAGCAATGAACAGAAGAGAGATATGGGTGAAAATGCAGTCCCCCTTACGAAATGCAAATGCTTTAGTGAAAAAGGCATGGTCAGTATAAAGAAGAATATAAGAGTAATGGAAAATAATAGGGGAAGCATCTATAACAGATATGTCTGACCTTCTATGGCTGCATTCAAAAAGGGAGTAAGAAATAGGTCTTAAGTGAAAGATGGTACAACAAACAAGAGGCTAAAGTTTCAAAAGGTAAAGCAATGGAGAACAAAATTCAGGCCCAAATCAGGAAGGACACGGAGGATGAAGAAGGTGAAAAGATCAAACAGAACAGAAAGGATATGCAAATATAATAAATGACAATAATGGGAAAATCAGAAAGTATTCGAAAATGCTGCCCTGTAACGAGCAATGGTTGAAAGGAATAAGTCTTGGTTGAACAGCCAAGTGAAAAACTAATAAATGTGAGGGACAGAAGGTTGTGAAGGAGAGAAGCCATTACATAGAAACCAACTAAGGAAAATGCATCATTTATGTTGATAGACAAGGAGGGGGGAAGAACAAGTGGAACAAAAAAGAAGGAAGGCTACACAGGAAAGTGCAGTGCATCTTGAAAGAGACTGGACAAAACACATGGGTGAAAATGGAGTGTTGATACTGCTGGATGTGAGAGGAAGGAACTTGGTTGAAGGAAGAGGGATTAGGACAAAGTAAGAGGAGAGAACTGTAGAAGGTTCAATAGGGGAAATCACGACTGAGCCAGCCAATATGGAGTGATCAGAAGGATTTGACATGAAGTGGTCTGAATAAGGGAAAGCACACCCAGAAGTCCACGTACCACGTGACACAGCAAAATCGATATTTAGCCTTTTTAGTTTCAAATTAAGAAACTAGCTAACTAATTTATAATACTAAATTTTGAATTATAATCTACAATTTGATACCAATAGTACTGACATACGTTTATAAAATAATAGTTAAATAAAATGTTGAATGTAAATTACAAATGTGATGAATTGCTACCTGACCCATACCTATCTCGATAGGGTTAATAAGCCCAGACCATGAGGCATTGCCCATTGAAGAGTAAGAAGGACGAAAACATTGTGTAGGGTTTGTTTGTTTGTTTGAAATTAAGCACAAAGCTACACAATGGGCTATCTATGCTCTGCCCACCACAGATAACGAAACCCGGTTTCTAATGTTGTAAGTCCACAGACATACCGCTGTGCCACTGGGGAGCCATTGTGTAGGGAATCCACTTTATCTGTGCATAGACCCCGGAATTCCTGACTGTTGGTATATGCATCCCATCCCTGAAGCAAGGCATTCATGAAGAGATGGAACTCTGGACAAGGTAGCAGTAGAAGAACCCATATCATAGCAGTGTCCCAATTTAACAATCCCTCGAGATCAAAGAATGATTCCAACTAAGGAAACTGGGGAAACCAGTGAATCGATGTTTATAATCTCTTGGTTGCATAAAGACCAATAAAAGGATCGCTTGTGTTCTTGTCCAAAAGGCACGAGGGATTCAAATGATGCCCACATTCTCAGAAAAGAGAGAACAATCCATACAGTGGGAGAAGGAGAGGTAAGTAAGAGCGTGGCATCCTATTCTATAACATTGAGCCAGATGAGAACCTGACTGAGAAACAAGATGAAAAATACCCAGACTGATGGCATATTGAATTGGAGCAAGATGTCTCAGTTCTAAAAGGGAAGTCTGCCTCGATTGTTTCTGAAAGTAGAATCAGGATGTGATGGTCTGACAGTTGACGAGATGGTGCCAGCAGTACCCAGTTATTCATGGAATGGTGTGTGCACAGTACAATGGAATGAAGGGGATGAGGAAATAAAACTCGTATGATATGGCAGAACCCATGTAAAGCCAATGTGACTCCAAAGGTTAAAACTCAGAATTGCAGTACCTGACCCTTGTGCACAACAGTAAAAAAATGAACACAGATTGAGGAATGAGTAACTTGTGAGACTTGGAGAATCCAGGCATTGATAGAGATGAGAAATATCGATAACTGGACACCAATCTCCTGTCGGCATAGGCCTATCAATGTACATGAATAAAAACTCTGATGAACTATCTCGACCCTCTCACTACCCCCAGACCAACCAAACTCAGAAAACCCTACAACTAGGTTTCCAAATCCCAAAGAACTGTAGGAGACAGATACCCTACAAGTTGGGAGGATAATAGTGGTGAAGAAGTGAACTGAATGACTCATTGTGACTCAAGGACATGCACTGCTCCTGGACCCATGGTTAAGGTTACCAAAGGTTGAATTTTAGAGTTGTGAGTCTGTAGACTTACTCTGTCCCAACAGGACATTGAAGTATTCATGTGAACTACAAACTCCGCCTTAGAACCCTGAAATTCGAGGACCAGATGTATTATTTGAGAGGCAAAAAATGCTTACACCTGGTGGTGGTAGGCTAAATCACGAAGTTCCGACAACGTATCAGATAAGGCCTATCTGTCCCTTCACGTAACTGAGAAGTAAACCTTTCCGCATGAACCACAATATCCGTGTATGGTAAAGAAACTAAAAATTTGCTTTCAGCCAACAAGTAAGGTGCAGTCTCAAAAGCAACTGGGAAAAAGCCTAAAACATCACACACTCAAAGAACCAACAGAAGAAAAACAAATCAAAGGCAGCTTATCCTAAAGTGGCCTCCTTTTCGTTTTTCATAGATCATTTAAAGACTGTATTGATTACCATTGATTGGAACAGCATTCTATGAGGTAAAGTTATTTTGTTAGAACAAAGCAACCCTGGGCCATCTGCCACATCCACCCTATGAAATGGAACCCTGAACCCCAGCACTGCAAGTATGTAAACTTACCACTGTCCCACAGGGGGACTGAAAATCCACTGCTTCATAAGTCCTAACAATAAAGCAACCACATATGGAGAGACAAAACAGATGAAGATAAACGTACCAAGGTTGAAAAGACAAGAGAATTTAGTGTCCATCGAAAATCATTCATAGGAACAATGGGTAGCCTTGGAAAGCAGGTGGATAGACAAGGGATAATTGTAGGAGAGTAATTATGATAAGACAAATACAAGAGAATTGGGGTGGGGAAAGGTGAAGAGAAGAGAAAGAATTGGAAACCCATGCCTGAATAACAGACTCAGAATTCTGAGAGTTAAGAAAGAGAAACTCAGCCCAATGGTAGGCCAAGGCATGTGTGTCCAGCAAATGATGAGGATGAGGCATACTGGCTCCAACACGAAGGTGAGAGGAAAATTGATCTGCATGTACCTGAGTATCTGGAAAAGAGGGAAAACTAAATAATCAGTAGCTGGGCCAAAATGTAGCAGGGAAGGGGAAGAATCATAGGACACAGGAAAAGTGGACAAAAAGTAACAAACTGGAGAAACCATATCCAAGAAGGATAAGATAAATCAGTGGCAGTGTATGGAGAAGGTGCAGTAAAAGGAGATGGAGGAAACTGGATCCTCAGGGAAAGGAATATCTGTCATCGGATAAGAAGACGGACCAGGCCACATGTAGGACTCCAACTCCAGATGCACTACAGCTGACACCTCCTTGACAGACAAAGAGGAGGCCAATACCACAGATTTTGGAAGTTTAGAGCTAAAGAAGGAAAAACAAGAATGGTGGTTAAGTTTTACAATTATCAATAAGTAAAAGGTTGGAGACTTCAACAAAAGGACAGGTGTACTTACAAAATAAGATGTCTTATAGATTAAAATACACATACTTGAAACTGTATGTTCAGACTGTGATCCACATTCTTTAATGCATCAGTGTAGTTGCCCTTCAGACATAAAAGTTGGGCCATATAGATATAATATAGACAGTATTCTTCTTTTGTCAAGGAAGGCAGTTGACGGGCTAGGGTTCTTTCAGCAAACTATCAATTTTAAATATATATATATATATATTCCTGAAATATGTAAACTAAAACATAATAAACTGTTTCTGTCTTTTTTTTGTCTTAAAGAATATGTATAAACCATACAATTTTCTATAATTAAAATAGTATTTTAATTACAAATATTAAAAAAAGTTTCAATTTTCTTTTTAAAACTTATTTTGTACATTTCAAATCTCCCAGTGTTGTTAGGAAATTTGAATAAAGATAAACCTGAAGCAACAACATTTTCCATATACTTTGGTAAGGAAACATTCATGGATACCATACAGCCCTAACACTAACCTTTTTTTCTATAGGACTTTTTAAGAGTTAAATGTACAAGATAAGATTCTAAGAAATTCCAGTTTTTTATAACTGTTGAAATTCATAATATTCATGAAGTAACACTTTGTGTCTACATCATCACTGATATTTCACCTTAGTAGAATCTCCTTTAAGCTTTGCATATATTTAAAAGTTTATTGAAATGATCACAGTTTGATAGATGAAACAATCAGCATGGTAACTTATTCTTATATCTTATGTTCACAAATGCAAGGACTTTTTATATATTATTAACATATACAAAACAGTTTTCATTTATCGTAAACTTACCAGAATCATGCAAGAATCCAACAACCATGGTACGCAGTAAAGGAATACAGTCTCTGAATTTTTTGTACATTCACTACCTGATGAAAAAACATCCAAATATATTTTTTATAAGAAGATTAGAATATAATGTTAGGAAAACTTTTAATGTAGTTCATTAAAACATTTCCTCGTTAAAGAAAAAGAAATAATTAAGTTTTTGAGTAAAGATTATTAGTTATTATACATAAATATGTATATGAATAATCCAAAGTTGAATTTTTTATATAATTTAAATAAAAAATAGTTTTATGGCAATCTTTTATTATTTTTTGGAAAATAATGACTGTTACACTCCAGATAATAGAAATAAAACTTATACTTCAACCACTAGATTTACAGTAGAATGCACTTGATGGTGATACATACACACACACGTATTATTAACAGTTTTATGACAGTACACTTCTAGTTAACCCTTTCCAGACTGAATATTTATGAGATTTTATTATCATTCAGTGCAACAGAAATAAACAGAGACTATGAACTTAGTAAGATACCATAATATAAATATGCATGATGTTAGAAAAACACGTAGGTTTAGGAAGTCTTGATAGAAATGAATAAAAACCTTATAACCCAAGCACTTTAAAAAGGTGGACTTTTCTTCTTCAGGGGCAAACTGGGAATATAAATATGAATACTGAGGTAATTATGGCAAAGCAACAAGTTGTTACAAACAATACTGTCTATGTGTATAATAAAGTTCTAAACAATTTCTTTGTTGAGACACAAGTATACTCCACAGTACAGTGACTGCACATAAAATGGGTGCAGTGGAAATTTCCTTCATATGTTAGTTGTGTGCCATCATACAAATTTCCATATTTGTACACACCTTCTGCTCTTGCAATCCTTTCATTACAAACCCTACAGTCATGAATGATTTCAGTGAACACTGGAAGGTGTTGTTCTATGTTATCCTGTCTCTGAGCATCATGTGGATCTCTAATTGATGGCTTATGATCTCATTTCCAAAATGTATTGCTGCCAATAAGCCTTTTACAATATTACTGTCATGCCACCTACTGTCAACAAAACTAACTATGCTCTTTCAAACTCAGCAAAAACTGTGACCAAACGAAGTCAGCAACTGCCAAAGAAAGTCAGTTAGGTCAAGATGTCATAAGTGAACTCATGGATAAAGAAATGGTTAGATTATTAATAAAGACTACTTACATTCTAAGCTCAATAGCCAATAAATGTTATTTTTATCAACTGTTTATTGCTAATTCATTCCTTGAACAAAGATCAGGCTAGCATTTCTATATCTGTTCAGGTGATCTTGATGGTAAATCTTGCCCTTGTAGATCCATGATTTATCAAGCTACCACAGAAAAGTACATCCTATTTGAACATAAAATGGTCCAACTGAATAAGTAAAAATGATAGTATTTTACAAGTGGTTCCCATAGCAAAAACCTTTTTCTTTGTAGTTCTTCTGTGTTTTATTCATAGATTTATTGGCATAAGAATTACTGCTCATGCTGAAACAGAATGGGTCCAATATCAGTGCCATTAGCATCAGTTCAAGTACACCAGAACAGAAATTACTCAGTTCAACCTATGACTCATCAAACAAAAGTTTATACTCTCATTTCCAGCATTCTGCTACATCATTCTGAACAGGAAAAAACTGGGTATACCATGCAAAGCTGGACATTTCTTCATCAACTATGGCTACTGAGGCTTAGCAAGATCTGCAGGGATACAATCTCTCAGTCAGCTATATGACCAAGAAACTTAAGCTATATTTAAGTTAAAACAACACACGACACTAAAATAGATACACAATTAAAAACATTTTAATTATGGTTAGTATATGAACACTAACACATTGACTCTACATGTTTGACGTTGCAACGTCATCTTCAGGAGTGAGTTGCAAGACATAATCATGTCTTATTTATACTTTTTTTTTGTTAAATGTGACCTACGTTTAAAATTCCCATGTGAACTATTTACAGAAGGTTTTTAATTGTGTATCTATTCTAACGTTGTGTGTTATTTATTATTTTAACATCATACACAAGTGCCAAGAAATAATACTGTATTTAAGTTAGTGCATTTCTTTAGCCTAAATTTGAATCTTGACTTCTTTAATTCTTTTGCCATTCAGAGGTTATTAAAGGATTTTACAAAAAAAATGTTCACACATGAGCACACCACTAATGTATATCAGACAACATTTCTCATCAAGACCATGAAGTACTCGTTCCAATAGTTTGTAAAATGTCTGGACAAAATGCAGAGTTCAAATGGCATGGCTTGAAAGAAAAACAAACTACTGATAAAAAGGAAGTCTTATGTCAGCAGGTGTGATATACAGAAAACTGAAACACTAGACACCTTCAATGTAACTAGACACTATTTTTTACATGATGAAGAAAGAATACACTCATGCGAGTAACTGAGTTGACTATATATATAAGTAAACAGACAATCTCAGAGTACCTTCTTCCTTTCTGAAGATAACTACTAGAAATTACAATGGGCCTTCTGTGAGTCTATAAGTTATCAAGTCTCAATACACCTGTCTAGTGGATGATGGCAGTCTACGAGGCAGTTACTTAATGGGACATCTATTATTGGTATCATTATGATGCTTAATGAGCAAAGTATGACTAGAATATCTGAACCTAGATATGGTCAGATATCTATCAGTTTGTTTTCTTAGTTGGAGCCAGGTTCATCCATCATTGCATGCAGTGTTCGAGTAGCTCATCAGTAGTTCCAGCACATAAATGTGGCACCATCTACAGCCTAATAAGAAGCTTGCATTTCACATTCGCAAAATATCCATACTTAATATTCCATTCACAGAGTCTCTTTCAGCTGTAGTAAGCTTCATTTTATAGTCTGTCCATCACTCACAGGACGAGCGTGTGTGTGTGGGTAAATATGGGTGTTTTGAATAAGGCCTGATACATTACTAGATGAGTGTGTGTTGTGTGTGGGTAAATTTGGGTGTTTTGAATAAGGCCTGATACATTACAAGATGATGAAATGTTCTAGCAGCTCCAACGTTACATGAATAATCATTACTTTTTAGAAACACTCATTGCAATATACTAGAATCACCTAGTCAGCACACTCACTCTAGCACATTTCTGTTCCCACTAAGTTCCAGCTCCATTATTAACCACAGGTAATCATTTATACTGATTAATCATATAATTTGCTCAGATCTATTTACAGGTTCATCATCTCGGCCTGTGTAGATGTAGAGTTGTAGATGTCAGAAGTGGTGGTAAGGGGGTCAAATATCATTGGACCCTCCACCAATATTTTGCTCACAACAGTTTATGTATTTAGTCTTTTTCCACGCACGTGGCTGACTTTGACAACAATATGAAAGTCGACTACAGTTTTTGGCAAGTTCTAAACATTATGCTGTTAGTAACTTTTTTTGCATGTATATAATATGTGTACTGGTTATTATATGAAACATTATTATTTGTATGACACTACAATTTGATAGTTCCCACCAAATAGTTTAATTTAATTGTTGAGTAACATTTTAAATTGTTTTCCACATTCCAACATGCCTGAGGGTTAAAAACTTCCAGTGTGGAAAATGTATTCAGTGGAGATATAAAATGTCAGCCTGATTAGTTGATTTTAACCTAATTAAGAAAAGGATTCAATGGGTCATTTGTGATAACCCTTCTCAAATATGCATGTGTTGAAAAGATCATATCATCCCCACCAATGTTATTACATGAAACAATTGGTGCTGTGGCAATATATGATATAATAAGTATATTCATATATTAACTACCTTCTTATTTTAATATAATGTTTTTTTGTAATTGGCCAGTTATTATGGTATGTGCAATTTTCACAGAATACAAGATGAAGAAAGTCATTAATTTGCTTTCCTTCTAGCTCCTTTGGTTACTTGTCCTTCATATATTAACTACCTTCTTATTTTAATATAATGTTGCGTCATCGAGATCACGTGACAATTCTCACGCTCTCTTGTTTCTAGAACTATCCCGTATCTTGGCGAATGGTCTAGTATTTACTAGTAGGGTAGGCTGGTATATATAAGAGGGGAAAACGTGATGCGGGAAGGTAAT